ATAAGAAAACAACCCAAACAAAAATTGGCAAAACAAAAAAAATTTGAAGACTTTATCAAAAATATACAGATGGCAAATAAGCACTTGAAAAGATGCTCACTGTCATTAGTCGTTGGAGAAGTACAGTTTAAAACCACAATGAAGGGCCGGCCCCATAGTGTAGTGGTTAAGTTTGGTGCACTCTTATTTGGTGGCCCAGGTTCACAGGTTTGGATCCTGGGCACAGACCTACACCACTCGTCAGCCATGCTGAGGCAGTGACCCACATACAAAGTAGAGGAAGATTGGCACAGATGTTAGCTCAGGGCTAATATTCCTCACCAAAAAAAAAAAATTCTTATAAAACCACAATGAGACACCACTACATAGCTAGTAGCTAGTAGAACGGCTAAATTATAAAATATGTTGACAGTGGTCTAGCAAGGATGCAGAGCACCTGGACTCTCATCCACTGCTGGTGGGAGTGGAAATGGTCCAGCCACTCTGAAAAACAGTTTGGCAGTTTCATATGAAGTTAAATTTGCACTTACCATCTCTCCCAGCAACCCTGCTCCTCAGTCATTTGTTTAGAGAAATGAAAGCTTATGCTCACACAAAAGTCTGTACATGAATGTTGTAGCAGCTTTGCATGTAATCTCCCAAACTTGGAAACAACACGAATGTCCACAGTGGGTGAATGGATAAGCAAACTTGTCCATCCCTACAGTGGAATGCTGCTCAGTAATAAAAAGCAATGATGATACGTGCCACAACTTGGATGAATCTCTCTTGCACTGTGGGCTACCTGCCGGTGAGCCAGCTGGCCTCAGGGTAGGATAGTTCTCGGCTCCCTTAGGAGGGCTACCCCAAGCTCCGCTTCCTCCAGATGGGCCTCCTTCTCCCCATAGGACCCCAGGCGTCCAGGTGTCGGGCTGTTGGCGTTCCCCGACAGTTCCTATAAAGTCGGCTCTCCACATCCAGACTGTGAGGCGCCAGACTGCCGCTATAAGGGAAAATCCCTAAGGCAGGAACAGTGTATTTGAGGAACAGCAAGGAGGCTGGATCGGGGAAGCCAAGAAAAGTGGATGAGATGAAAGAGCCAGATGGTGAAGGGAACTGCAGCCATGTAAAGTGTTTGGTTTCTATTCCTCGTGTCACGATAAACCATCAGAAGTTTTCTATCAGGGGAGCGATATGATCTGACTTGTGATTTTCAAAGGATGGTGCCTCACTGTGGAGAAGCAGGAGTGGCATCGGGGAACCCAGTGGCTGGCCTTTGCAGTCAGCATTCCCGTGGGAGAAAACTGCAGCTTGGATTGGCGGCAGGAGGGGTGGAAGTGGCAAGAGAGTGGAGGTGGTGGGAGTGGGGAGGGTGGCGGGAGGGTGCAGGTGGCGGGACGGGCTCCGCCGATTTGGAAGGTATCAGGGAGGTCGAGTTCAATGACTTCATCACAGACGAGCCACAGATTGTGAGGGGAAAAGCAGTTAGGGTTAATTGTGGGGTTATTGACTTGAACAACTGTATGAAAGTTGGCGAGAAGAAGATTAACAAAGATCCATAATGATTTAAAAGGGATACGTTATGATGGGGTTCCCTTTCCTCCTGCCCACCAAGATGGATGTCGTGAAGCCTGTAAGACTTAGCAATGCCAGGACAAGCCAAGGAGCGGGAAGGATTCCCGGCGCCACCAGGAGCTGGAGAGAGGCCTGGATCAGATTCTCCCTCCAAGCCTCCCAAGGAACCAACCCTGCCGACACCTTGATTGAGGCTTCCAGTCTTCAGAACTAGCTTTGTTGATTGTAAACAAGAAGAAAGACCGTTGAGAAACAGAGAACATCAAGAAAAAATTAGAGAAGAAATGCTTACAAAGAGAATAAAATACATTGCCTCGGGTCTCCAACCATGCCGAAGGCGCTCCTGTTCTTTCGTGACGTGGGTCTCCCTGGACGG